TTTTTCCCGGATCTGGTCTGATCCCATCAGCTGAGATAATATGACCTAGAAATTTCAGCTCTGTCACACCCATGACGCATTTAGCTTTATTCAATTTGAGGCCTGCTCTCCTCAATGCCTGTAACAYCTGTCTCATGTTCTGCCAGTGTTCTTCTGGAGTTGATCCATACACAACAATATCGTCAAAGTAGTTGAAGACCCCCAGCAGCCCTTCGCAAACAATACTCATCACTCTTTGATATGCCGTTGATCTCTCGAACTGAGAAACCTTGCCTGCTGCCATGAATGACGTAATTTCTCGGGAGTCTTCCGACAAACGCAGTTGCCAGTACGCTTTTCTCAAATCAAGCGTAGAGAACGGTTGTGCTCCACTCAACTGACGAAGAAGATMTTGTATTCGCGGAATTGGGAATCTCTTTCTTATGATGACTTTATTTAATTCCCGTAGATCAATGCACACTCTCAGTTCCCCATTCTGTTTGTACACTATAGTATGTATTGTTGAAATCCATGATGCCCCTGTGGCTTCTTCAATCACATCTTCCTTAATCATCCTCTCAATCTCAGTCTTTAGTTTCGTTTCCAACATAGCTGGAATTGGCCTTTGCTTCTGTACCCTGGGTGTATTTCTTTATCAACTAGAACTTCATACTCATAACCAGTGAAATTCCCCAACTCCTCCTTGAAGACATCTTCAAATTCTTTAAAGAAAGCACTCCTCTGTTCCTCTCGATTCACGTCTATTCCCAGAGCATGTATCTGTAGCAAGTTCAATGTCATTATAGCAGTCCTTCCAAGCAAAGGTRGTCCCTTTGCATCAACGACATACATAGGCTCTGTAACTTCCTTCCCATTACACCTAAGTGTACCATGAAATGTACCAACACATTTGATGACTCAAAATCCAAAAGCAGAAAACTTTACTGTTGTGTCAATGGGCTCTCAATGTTGCCGCTTTAAGCCACTGACGTGGAATGAAGGTTTTTGAGCAACCTGATTGTCAATGACAAAATGTGATTTGTTTCACATTAATTTGGGCATCAATTTTGAAGTCTTCCTCTACATGGCCATGTGTATAGTCAAGAGCACAAACTCATCTCCCTCATCGACCTCTTTTGGGTTTTCCTCCCACCTTACACAGTCAACATTATCTTCTGTCATGTAAATAACTCCAGTAGATCTAAAGCAATTTTCAAAATGATCAACCTTCTTACATTTCCAGCACTCAGCTGCCTTTGCTCTACAGTTGGGGTCGTTGGCAAGGTGATCTACCCTTCCACATCTGTAACATTTATTTCCTTTTTGGCTCC